CTTTGACGTGAAGATTTGACCGTTGTCACTTTGTATCACTTTCATTCTTCCAAACGTATTGATGATTGCTTCTAGGAAATTAATGACATCCTTGCTTGTACCTTTCTTGAATGGCTTAGCCATACCGTATCTCGTAAAGGTATCAGCTGCGACTAATACAACTTTGTTTCCACTTCTTGATTCAGTGAAAGGTCCTATCATATCAATCTGGATTCTTTCCATCGGATTGTTTGGTAATTTCATTCCTCTCGCTCTTCCTTCTTTATATGTTTTCACTTTATATTGTTGACATTTATCACATGCTGCGACTTTTTGTTTGATGATTTCGTCCATTTCTGGAAACCAGAAATCTTGTTTGATCTTTTGAATTGTTGGCTTCGAGCCAAAGTGACCCGCTTCCATTACCTCATGGTACTGTTGAAATACGAAATCGATAAGACTATCAGGCAAATAGAATCTCGGCGATCCATCGTTCATTAGTCTATACAAAATTCCTTCTTTTATCTCGTAGTTTTTCCTTTGTTTACCATCTTGAATTTCTCTTTTTAACAAATTACATCTTGAATCTTTTTCTTGCTCTCTTCTGATCTCGTTCTCAGATTCTTGAGGTATTTTAGGTGCTTTCAATTGTCGTATGAAATTTTTCTCTTGAACAGAATCAAGAAAATCAAATTCTCTCACGATATTCAAGAGGACCTTTTGAGTATCTTTGTTGAGTATTTCGATTTCTTCTTTCAGTTCCATGTCCTCCATTATGATATCGTCTTTACTATATTTAATATAATTAAGATATTTATCAAAATGATCGTCTCTCATCTCTCCTTTTTGTCTATGCGCCCATTCATTTGAGCGAGAAAAACAATCGGCTGGATGAGATTCTCCTTTGAGATATTCCACTTTGAAATCGAACTCAGCCAAATCATGCTGCCAACGCATAATTCGAGGGACCTTGAATTGTGTGTTTTTGAGCTCACAAAGAGCGTGATGATCTGTTCTTACCACAAATGATTTGTGTCGTAAGAAATGAGCAAATTTTCTACACGCGTGGACTACAGCAGCGCATTCTTTTTCTGTTGTATGCCAACTGTACATGTACTTTTGCAATTTACCTCCAAAGAAATAGATTGGATTCCATTGTCCATCTTCATCTTTTTGTGTTAGAATTCCACCGATCGCCACCGCTGAAGCGTCAACCAATATTGCTGTTTCTCTATCTGGATAAAAGTGTGTTAATAGGCATTTCTTTGTTAGTGCCTCTTTAAGCGTATTCCAACTTTTTAACGTTGCTTCTTCCCATTGAATTGGTAGTCCTTTATACTTTTTCTTTATTAACTCTTGTAATGGTGCTGCTATCTTTGCATAGTTTTCCACAAATCTCGAGAAGTAATTGAATAATCCAAGATGTGATCTCACTTGACTCTGAGAAGACGGAGGATTGAGGGCCTTAATCCTTTCGATCTTCTTTGGGTCAGGTTGAACTGTTCTTCCTGACACTAAATGTCCTAAACATACGATCTTTGTTGCTCCCGCTTGGAGTTTTTCAATTCGATTTTTGAAGCCATAGATTTTTAATGCACCAATTACTTTCTTCATGTTTTCACAAAGCTCGTCGATCGTTTTACCGTAGATGACAATGTCATCGAAATAACCAAAGCAGCAGGTATATTTTAGTTCTCCAAGAACTCGATTAATTACCTCCTGGAAATAAGATGGTGCGTCAGCCAAACCCATCGGCAATCGCTTATACCGATAACAACCATCTTCTGTGACAAAACTTGTTTTGTCTCTTTCACTTTCTGGTATTTCTAGTTGGTAATACCCTTGGGCTAAATCTAGAGTTGTGAAGTACTTGTTTCCTTTTAATTGATTAATTGCATCGTCGATGTTAGGTATAGGAAATTTTCTTTTCTGAATTAGTTTATTCAATTCAACATAGGATGTAACCATCCGCCAAGTACCATTGGGTTTTGGTACCACAAACGCTGGGGCTCCCCCGCCTACATCCGAATCTTCAATAATCCCATTTTCCTTGAATTCTTTAATTATTTTTCTCATCTCTTCTTTCATTTTCTCGCTTGATCTAAATGGTTTCGACTTTGGAATTGATTTGGTACCAATGTCAATTTTAAACTTTGTTACCGATGCTGGTACGCATCCTAAATCAAATTTACTTGAAGAAAAAGATCCTCTTTCTTCTGATAGCACTTTGAAGATTTTTAATTTTTCTTCTTCACTCAGCTCGGGATTGATTTGTTTATACAATTGTTGTTCCAAATTAGAAATTTCATCCGGTAAATCCAAACTGCTTTCCGTGAACTCTTCAATTTTGTTGATTAAATTACTTGCATCTTCTTTATAATTGTCTTGAAAATGTTGAATGTAATTGACACGTAATGAGTTGATTTGAGGTATTAACTTTTTATCAATCGTGTTGTTCACTTGATGATTTGATGGGTGATCTTGATGATTGGATTGTTGAGTAATGAGGTCCTTATTACTCATCAATCGTAAATAACTCATGTTATAATTGTCCACATACCACGATTTGAGTAATAGTTCAATTTCACTTAAACTTGGTTTTTGAATTTTCATTTTGTAATCTTGATTCAAATCTTTTTGTTTTAATGAATAGGGCTTACCTAATCCATTGGTAACAATTATTAAATATGTAGCTTTAATGATGTTTTCACCAAAGAGGATATCATTAGATAATCCATCGATCACATAAGCTACTAAAATCTTTGGGATGTTGTCCACAAACACTTTCAATGGTACAAACCATTCACAATTGATAATTGTTTGATTTGCACTTAGAAATCTTAATTTGTGAGGGTAGGCCAATAGTCCAAGTTTAATCGCGAGGTCCTTGCTAATTAAACTTGTACAGGCTCCCGTATCAAACATTCCATCGAATTTAACTTCACCGATTTGTAATCTCATTGTTGGATGTCTAGCATCAGATGAATTAATTGTGCTTTTTGTCGCAATTAATTTTGTTGATGTGATGCTACCTTCACTCATTGGTTCATCAATTTCCACATTGTTTACTTGACCTTCGATTTTTCGAGGGTTTGTGTTTGGCTTATTGATGCGATTTGGTCTTTTGTCTGGATACTTAGTCCAACAATCTTCCTCCTCGTGACCAATCTTTTTACACGAGTTACACACTTTGTCATTTGATGTCCTTACTTGACCTTGTTGACCTTGTTGACCTTGTTGACTTTGATTTCTCACATATTGACCAGGGCGATTGTTTCTCGGATTGTTACGGTTTAATTGGTCTCTTGATCTTTGTTTTTGCCAGTGTCCAATGACTTTTCTTTTGATTTTCTCAATATTAAAATCAAGACTTTCCGGTATTATTTCATTTTGAATGTAGTAAGGTAAAGATGACAATAAGGCGATAGTCAAAGTTTCAATACTTGCTGTCGGGTAAATTATCTTTAACGCTGTTTCGATTTTTGAGAAATGGTCCTTTGGATCATTTCGATTATCATATTTCTTTTGTAGAACTATGTAAGCAGCTTCTGCTTTTTCACTCGATGTAATCGTTGAATTTATCAATTTTTCTTTCCATTCATCATACTGAATCCATGGAAATTCACTTCTTAAATTTTCTGCTCTTTCTCTTGCTTCATTTTCTAGCAAGACTGTGATATGTTCAATCCAGGATTGTTTGGTTGGATCTAAGGTCCTCAGATCGTATTCCAAACTCCTGATGAAATTCACAAATGATTGTTTTTCGTTATTCGGCCATTTCTTTCTGTTGATTCTTTGCAACACTTGTTGCTGGGCAAAATTTAATTGACTTTCTCTTGATGTCGATTGATTCATCTTTTCTAATCGTTCCATCATTGATGATTTCTCCATGGTTGAAAATCGATTGGCTAATAGAGTAGCAAACGCTGAAGGTAATCCAATATCGTCCTCTAGTTGATTTTTTGTATAAGTCGTGAATTGATCTAGACTCTTGAAACCTTTTACTAGTAGCAGGATTAACGTATTGAAATCCAACCCCATTTTTCGCAATTCGATCCCATCAATCCATTTAATCTGGTATGTCCTCCTTGAATCGATCTCAAATTCATCAGGCACATCACCGTTGTTTTCAAACATAAATTGTATTAATTGAGATTCCCAAATCTCTTTTTGAAGCATACCGTTTGTCTTTTGACTCGGGTTCTTTATTCCCCATTCGATTGATATACCAATCAATTCATTTCGGGTTATTTGTTCAAGCGCCTTTGCTGGCACATAATCTGGTAATTTTTCCATGTTGCTTGATACTCTTTAGTCTCTTTCACTCAACACAAATTGTTTTTGAAGGTTAACTCACTTGGATCAAATCGAAAAATTGATTTGGAATATCGTCTAAAGGTCCTCTAGACTCTCTAAATCAATTTTTATCAAAACGACACGTTGTGTCACTTATAGTGTTTGTTATTAAGACAGCGGAAAAGGAAATGGAGTTTTTCAGTAAAGAATAAGACTCAATTTCTTTGTTTTCTTTGCTGATGTGGCCACTGAAGTTGTTCACTAATGAAGCAGAGGCATCTCCACCATTTTGTAAACTTAATTTGTCAATTGACGATTTGTACTCGAGGAACACGAGGATCAGCTACAGTTAGTGAATTAGGAACTTTTTATTTAACAGAACACAAAAGGGTTGATTTGATTAATTATACAACTGAGTTAAGAAACTGGATTTGTGAGGAAAAGGGTAAAGGGTATTTTGAGGTTAAAGTAACATAGAAGAAGAAATTGACAATTTTGATGTGGATACAAAAAGCTATTATCAAAGACTTAGGTCCTTTGTCTTTGGTTTGGCTTTAAATACTAATTTTTAAAAGGTCTCGTGGGTATTGATAAGATTATACAAAATGGTGGATTAAATGATTAAAAGGGGGAAAGTAACTAGTTGATGTATGACTCATTATCAACTATTGCGTAATCCCTTACAATCATCATCTACGATATGATACCTTATAAGTTTACTATTGGAAAAATTAACAAAATGCAAACTCAGACAATTTAATTATAACATTTAGTTAATCATGATAAAGAAAGAAACAAAATTATGTTATTAGTTGACAATCATCATGATCATCGTATTAGTGGAAGACAAAAATAGTAATTGAAAAGTTTATTATTAGTTTTGAAAAAAGAGCTCAAATAACATTGAGAATGAACTAAATTGTGATGTTAACGGTAAATTGTTGTAAAGAGTTTATTCAAATGATGGAAAACCAATATTGTCCATGGAGAAGATGAAGATTAATCATGATTATGATGAGGATGATGATTAATGACAAGAGATGAGTTTATTTATATATATAAAGACAAGAAAATGAGTTAATAGTTGATTGGAATTAGCATTTCAACAGATAATTATAATCATCAATTTAAGGCTATTTTTGGGTAAAGGTGATGCTCACAGGGAGTAAACCACAATTGGGATGATGATGATGATGATTAAGATGATGACACACCCTTGATTCAGGTAAAAATGATAGACAATGAAATTATCATCAACCAATCATTTTACCTGGAATCAAGTTCTTGTGGCTATGAAAGGTTTAGAAACGTAATGATTAAGATAATTGTTGTTGGTATGTTTTTCAATTTACCTTTACTTCAATCATCTGAATCAATAATTAACTCATAATTTGGTTGTTTTTGCTTAAACAATTTGATGAAATTTTGATTGTCATTTAATTGTATTCAAAATTTAATCTTCACCTTTCAGTTTCATTTCATTTAATCACTGATTTAGTTGAGCTTTTTTCGGGAAAGATAATGATAATAATTAAGAACTGTATCAATAACAATTAATACATGATAATCTGACATGCGATAGACAACTTTGATTACTAATTGTTGCAATTTTCGTAATTAATTTGTGTGGGTAATTATTAAGACTCCATTGACGAAATGTTGGTTAACAATTAAGAAGATAATTGGCTGAAGATGTGACAACGAACAATAAGTTTTGATATTTTCGTGAATCAAATAATTAATTTTCCCAATTTTCTCCGCTAAGAAACATGATGATGATGATGATGATCCACTGAAGTTTGAATAAGAATCTCTGATTCTTTTGATTAAGAATTTTTTGAATTACATCTTCCTCTTCATGTTGATCATCATAATCACCCAGTTTTGGCAAAAGAGTGAGACTAAAGTTAGAAGCCAAAAAATAGTAAATCAACATGATAAAGATGAAGATTCACTCGAAGATAGAGTTGATGAGGGAGAAGATGAAAAGATAATGATGATAATTATGACGACAATGATGAAGATGAAAGATCCAAATCTAAAAGGTATCGCCTTCATCTTATTCAATTTGATTGATCAGTCTAATAATTGATTCCTTGTTGAGCTCATTGCGGTTTCCTTTCCGTTTCCGTTTCCCTTTTCATCTAGATTCAATTTCATCAACATGATTAGATAATAATGATAACAGTTAATAACTTTCAATTGGAAACCTCAACCAGGTCTCTATAAAAAAAAACACCATGTCATCATTTTGAGCAGCCTCCAATTGTCATCATCAACTTTAATTGTGACGATTAAGATGCTGAGAATAAGAAAAATATTCAACAATATTCATATTGATACCATGAGGGAAATATAATCAACATGGTTTCTTATGTTAAAAATAGTAATCAAAATGTTTCAATTACATGGAAAAGTCAATCATCAACTTTTCCAATAATCGTAAGTTGAAACAGTTCAGATTGTTGATATTCATTCAACTCAAATTGTTATTAGTTAACATGATGATTATTGATATTGGTTTTCTCAAATATCTACTTTCTATGATTGAAAGTTTTTCCATCTAAAAACCAACAATTAATGGTCAATTTTCCTTGACCATTGGTCACAAAAAGGTAGATATAAATTCATAGTATTGATTAGTTAATTTCGTGTAAATTGACAGCCATTTGTTAATTCATGAGAGAAACAATCAAAATCCAAGAATTGATTACAATATATTAAGTTAATTGTGAGAGTCCAACAGATGAGATCAATATGATTTCCAGTTAATCTAAAATTTAATTGTCTGGATTATCCCTTGATTGATTTACAAAATCCATATCAACAGCTGATTCTCAATAATCAATCAATGATAGACTTGACTGATTAACTGATTTTCTTGTCCAATTAATAGTTAATTTGATTGATCCTCATCATCATCTTCACTCCATATGTTTGATAGGTTTCCAGGTCAATCTGAAATTAAAGTAAATTGTTTTAGTTAATGAAAATGTATTGACTGATTTACAATTAAATTAAATCTCACCTTTTCCAACAATCAAAATATTATAACAGCTGATTGATATTGATCAATTAATTGTTTCCAAATTGATTAAATCCATTGGTTCATTGAAACTTTCCAAGTAATCAGTTGATTTAATTTCAAATGAATAATATATTAATAGCTTTTAACACAATTAAATATTGATCCAACTACAAAACAAGGGAAAATGAATTGAATTAATTTGATTAATCAACTGAATGAGTGAGTAATAAAAAAAACGGAAACAAATAGTAAAATTAACCTTGAATGATAATAGAAGATCAATTTTCATCAACAATTAGGTCATTATGTAACCTAATCAATTTAGAAAATTATTACCAATACAGAGAGAGAGAGAGAGAGAGAGAGATCGAAGTGAGTAATCAATAAATTGTTTGGTTTACTTTTCCATCATTGATTCCAATCGACCTCACGATTACAATTTAACATCATCATCATTGTAATTTATTGCCTCATGATTTCCTGTGAGTAAATAATAGTAATCATAATGAAAGAGAAAGTGAAACATGTGAAATTAGAAGCAAGAAAAACGTTATTGTGTAATAATAAAATCGCGAGCGTTGATTGTTCATCGACACGATTTTATCTTTTAATTTGTACGTTAAGATGCACTTTGATAAATGCTCTTGTTGGCACACGTACACGTCTTTCAATGAGCTTGATTGTTGTGATTGTTTGATAACAATAACAAAAAGATTTGCTAAAGAAGAGACGTAAAAAAGTACACAACCTGCGCGCCGATAGTTGAGCTACAAGGATAAGCGTGTCTTTGGGGGGGAATATCAAAGTAACACCCGGAGTGAGTTTTGTCTAAACCACTGGATCGACTTTTCTCCCTCACAATTTCCACCAGGCATCCGTTAAACAGGGTCAGGTCTCTATCGCTCCACGAAGGGGAAGAGAGAGAGAGAGATGATAAGTCTCTTGTCTTCTTCTTTTTGCTCCCTCCATTTTGGTTTTGTACAGTTGATCTGGTTTTTTTTTCTCGATATTGTTGGAAAACCTTGTAGATGAAAGTGAGGAGAAAACATGGAATCACCTGCCGTCGATATTAACCATTGACAGGAGAGAAACGATCCAAATTATCATTCGAATATCACTCTCCTCTATCATCAATAGTTAGTCGATCCTTGACCCTCTCTCTTTCTCTGCTTGTAGATGTTTTACTTTTTAATAAGTTCGAACAATTTTGAGAGAGAGAGAGAGAGAGAGAGAGAGAGAGAGAGAGAGAGTATTAATACCTGAAAAGGAGAGAAGATGAAAAATAGAGGGAGGTTGAGAGGAGTAAAAGAGAGTGAAGATAAACAGACTGGTCTTTCTTTTTTCTTCTTTTCATCCCCATAGAGTTCTAGTGCAGTTTTTAGGCGATTACTTGACATTTGAATAAATTTATTCTCTCAACTGACATTTGGCTCGTGTTGCCTCGTCTTCATCTCTCTCTTTCTCTCTTGCGTTTTTAATATCCAAAAGAAGATCACATTTTAACGGCCTGCACTTAAGATATTGATATCGAATTGTCGTTGTTATTACCATTGCTTTATCCATAATCAACAGGAAGATGGTGAGGGCGAAATTAATCACAAGTTGACACTAGAAGTACGCATAGAAACGCAATGGGCAGTAAGAGATGATTTTTCATTCTCCTCCGCCTCGTTTACATCTATTTCTCTCTCTCTCTCTCTCTCTCTCTCTCAATCTTCATCTTTTTATCAAAATCTTCAAAAGGTATTAGTGGTTAGACAAGTAGGTGAACAAAGCGAAAAGCAGAAAACAAGACAACCAATTGTCTTATTATGTTAATCCAAAATCCAACAGTTACCTTGATTTACCTCCTCGGGTTGAGAGTAGCCAATAATTTATTTCTTCTTCATGTTATCAGTTTAATCACATTTAAACCAAGGGTGATAAAGATGATGAACATGCTGAAATTAGTAATAATTTCTGATGACACACATCATATTTCACGATAAACTAATCCAATAACAGCAAAAGCTTCATATTCAAAGAAAAAGATGACAATGATACCCCAAAACTATTAGATTAATCCTTGTTGAAAAAAGAGAGCAAATGTTTACTGTCCACTCATAAAATACTGACCAAAGACACACACATACATGCATAGACATGCATATATGTTGACAACATAAATCAATAGATTGTATGTCCAACGAATTAAAAAAAAAATGTCTCTTCTTTTATCGTCCTTGAGGTAAAATAATAAAACACTGAAGGAAAAGACAAATGTATTGATGTTAGGAATTAACATGGAAAGAGGCAGATGAAGGTAAAAGAATCACAGATTATCAATCAGATGGATTTAAGAAGATGATAAGTTGATTTAATCGACAGGGTAGAAAACGATATTCATCACCAAGATTTCCAATGCTAATCTGATAATAATTTAGAGAGAGAGAGAAAACAATTGATTAGATTTGATTTGTTTTTCTATCATTGTAACAGATACACAAATGGTCTCATACTTACTTTGGACTACCAAGAATCGTTGTTTTTTTACAAGATATTCACCTGATTTTGCCTCGAAAACATCACCGAACACACCATATATCACCCCACGAATCGTGCTATTGTATAACCACCGGTTGGCTTAATTATCCATTGGATTACATTTATTTCTGGTATTGGTTGGAGTTGACCATCTCCTCTTTAACTGGACACAAACCGAGGGAAGATGACTTTAGATGGACACGTAAGGTGACCAACACTCAGAACAATAAGAATGTAAATTTAATTAACAATAGAAACGCCTAAAGTCATTACTATTAATCAAGAGAAGAATTGGAAAATTAATTCCAATGATTAACTCCAATTGTGTGGAAAATAATAATAATTAATCAACTAATTGTCTCATTGACATTATTGAGGAAAAAAAATTAGCGAAAGGGTTGATTATTAATTACATCTCGAAAATGAAGAAAAGATAATTTTAATCATTCCAAAGGTTGAAACAATTAGTTAATGATGAAAATTAAAGTGGATTAAATTGTTAACAGTTAATCAACTGATTGGAGAGAGAGAGAGAAAAAAAAATCAATTGGAAAAGTTTGATTCGTTCAATGGAAAACAAAGGTTACAATTGATCAATTTTTTTTCTATCTCTCGGTTAACTTTAATCAGTGAGAACAATTAAAAACAAGTCCTTTAATTAAACTATCAATCAATTGTTTTCTTATCAATCAATGACCTTAAATCAAATTGGAAATGATTAAAGTTCAAAGTTAATTTAAGTGAAAAAAAAATTGTCCAAAAAAGTTAATTCAATAATTGTTTCTGAAAGAAAACAGTTAATTGTTATTAATCAAAAAATCATCAGATAATTGAGAATCTAATTGCAGACAGAAGTCAAAGCTTAATGATAGCAATTAAGGATTTAATTGAATATTGATGTTCGATAATTAATTGTGATCAAAAAATTGATTGGTAATTTGATTTGTGGTTAATTGTTGTTATTATTATAATCAAGGTGGTAAATGATTAACTTTTAATTGTAGATACAATATAATGTGAATCGATTGATTTTTTTTAATTGTTATATCATATATGTTGGAAATCAATTGAGTAAACAATTGACTGATTAATCCATTACAATTGTTTGAATAAATTCACTTTGATTTCAATTGTTGATTAATTAATTGTGATTCTATGATATAAAGAAAAAGTGAAGAAACAGTTTACAATTAACTTAATTTTTTTGCAATTGAAAAGAAAAAGTTAATTAACAAAGGACTAGATTATTTATCCAATGGTAAAAGATAATTAAAACGATGACAATTAACTAATACAATTATTGATGGATAAAATTGAATCAAAATTTATGATAATTGTCTTAATAATAACGGTAATTAACAATAAGATAATCAAGAATTGAAGATTTTACATTATAATTATCACTTATTACAATAATATTTAAGTTAATTGTTAATTCATTTGGTTCATTGCGTTGATTTTTTCAATTCATGTTGATGTTTTTTCATATTAATCATCATCATTAATCAATAACAGGTTCATTAAAAATGTTTACATATCTTTGTTAAAATATTTCTTAATTGTGATTAAGTTATTTTTGGTATCAGTTAGATAATAAGAATCAGTGGATTAATGGATTAGTCATTTAGTATTAGTTTTTGGTTACATTTTCATCATGAAAATTATATGATATCTTTTTTGGGCTCAGGTGAGTTGATACTGAAAGTATTAATTGTGATATAAGAGTACTAATTGTTTACCTAATTGTTTGGATTGGATTTAAATTAATAAAAATTTAGTCTCTCTTACTAAGTCAGTTGTTAATATTTGCTTTTTTTTCTGAAAAATTGGTGTTAATTTGAAGGTGGAAAACAAGATTAGTTAATTTGATTGGTTAAAGAAAAGGTTAATTGTTGTTTTATCATTCTCTCAAGAGTGTAACTATTTTTTGCTTCTCTACAATTAGAGGTTATAATTTTTATCCTTTTTGTTTTGTTTTGAGTGTAAAAGGTTAAAAATTTCAAGTGAATTTGGTGAAAATTCATTTTTTTCCCTGGATATCAGCTGATTGATCTTATAAACTCTAAACAGAGAAATGGTAATCATCGTTGGGTCAGGATGAAACTATTCAAATGGTTAACTTTTGATTCTCTTGAGAAAGGGATTAGAGACGTTGGGTGGGATGAGATGAAATTGGAATACGGGAATTTGGGTGGGAATATAAAAAAATAATGTAATATTGAACTTATATTGATAATCAATTGTAATTGTAGATGATTTCATTAATCACGACTTGTAGAGATGGAAATGAGAAGGAGAATTGAAAGATGATTAATCAGTCTTTAACCATGAGCTTTGTGGGTTACTTTTCATTTTAAGTCTTTTCCGTTTCCTTTCCTTTCCTATTTGATGGTTTTGGTTTTGATTCTATCCGTATGGAAAGTGTATGTATATGGCTGGGGAATATATTTGATTAATTTAATGTTTGCTTTGGCTTTAACAATATGTATATTGAAGATGAAGATAACTTTTGTTTTCCATCCATAATTATCACAACATGGAAAGAGATGATTGCAGATTGCCATTAATTCACAATTCACTATAATGGTAATACTTTTAGAGTTTAAGTTTTTATGGTAACACGTTGAAAGGATTTGGTGTTTTTCTTTTGTTTTCATCTGACAAAATTCAGTCTATGCTTGATCATTGAATGTTCAGGTAGAGATAGAACCCATTTTCTTATGCTGGTCAATAGGATACAAAATATAACCAGAAAGGCACCACTGATAGACCAGAAATTGGGGGTTTGATTGAAAAACCAAATTTGCCAAGCAAATGCCAAGACAATATCGGTTGCTGATCTAACTATTGCCACGGGACCAGCTTGTTCCAATTGAAGAGATTTGGTTAATAGTATTTGACCAAAGAAACTGAACAACATGAGAAGAGCTATGAGAATCCATTCCTCTGAGGTGGCTGGTAGAGAGAAACCATCGAGTATAATGGTTAATAGGCCTGTCTCAACAATGGCGATTGCACCAAAATTGAACATGATCACTGAATGGTGAACTGATTTAGCTTTACGTAAAATAATGTAAACTGAAGCGGCGAAAAAGGTTGATGAAAGGGCGGCCAAAACTCCTCGAACATAATTTGATTCGGAGAAATCTTTTAAATGAAATGATTCTTCGTGATGATTGAAAATGGTAATTGTTTGATTATTTGGTGCTATCAGATGACTTGTATCATGTAAATACGATCCATTTGGCATCTTGTTTAATATTTGATTAAGAACAACTCCTTCTTCCTCTAGTAAATTTGGTAATCGGACAGTTAAACAAAGTCCGATCATAGTTAATGCAACAATTATCGTTTGAAAAATTCCACAAGGCTCCTAATAATGAATGAAGAGAAAAATAAAAGATGAAATGAGAATAAGATACGTAATAAACAATAGTAAGGAAGTGGAATAAAAATTTGAGAACAAAAAAAAATAAGAAAAAGTGTCCTCATTTATCGAGGTGAAAGGTGATATTTGGAAGATGAAAAAAAAATACCCAAAACGTGAATGAAAAGAAAATGATTGTAGATTAAGTGATTGGTTCGAAAAAAAGACTTACATTTAAACAGACACAAGCAAAAATGGTAACTACAATGGGGACCGTGAAGATGATGACGGAAGCATCGACGAAAGGTAGGTCACGAAAGGCGCAGAAACGAAGGAAAAGACTAGTTGATCCAGCGATACCTCGAAATAATAGAAAAAGACGGAGATCAGCTGGTCCAAGGAATTTTTCTTCATGATAGATCACAAGAGGAATGGAAAGAATGAAGATACCAATAAATCGAAATAATGCCAATTCGCCCGGATGGATATTCTACAGAGAGAAAAAGAAAGAAAGAGAGAAAAAAGTTAATACATGATAAGCAAAAATAAAGGAAATAAACATGGAGATCAAAAGACAACGAATTAATCAGTGGAACAGGAAAAAAAAGAACAAGATTAGAAAAAAAAAGCTTACCAACCAAAGAGTAGAGAGAAAGAGAAAGAAAACTCACATTAAAAACCTAACATTTCAACTCAAAAGCGTAACAATTAACAAGAAAATAAATTTAAAATATCGACATTGAAAAGAAAAGAACACTGATCAATGGGGGAGAGAGAATCGAGTTACAGTTTTGAGACAATTTTAAAATGGAAACATTTCTAATTAACTGTAGGCAACACGTACACACAAAATAAAAGCGTAACACTAATGAAGGAAAAGTATCAACAGTTAAAGGAGAACAAAAAACATTTACACAAATTAGAAAAGGAAATAATCTTACCTTGAGATATTTAACAATTGCCGATGACATGGAAAAGAAAATACTTGACATGGCTGAGAATAGAATACCTTTATAAATGTTCTTACTATTGGAAGAAGATGAAAGTAATAAACCTCCTTTACCAATTCCATCGTCATCACCTCTACCACAATCGTTATTTAATCTACTTGTTTCCAAATCATCATATAAAACCTCTTCATCTTCCGAAGGAATAGAATTTAAAATGGCCATCATCTTATTACCAGTAAATTTTGATAGAAATGGATCATCCAATATGGTTCCACCATTTTTATCCCATTTAAGACGCATAACTGGTTAGAAGAGAAGGAGAAAAGCACAAATTGTTAAACAATTAAATTAGACCTTCTAATCAGCTAATTGATCACAGTTAAGACTTTAAACACAAGTGAGACAAATCAATAACTAAATTGACAAACAATAGAATATAAAAAAATTAAATCAAACAATCAATTAGTTAAAAGACTAGAGAGAGAAAAGTGTTAACTTAATCAACTCAACATTTCCAACTAAAGAATAAAAATTCACCGATCACATGATCGTAATTGAGAAAAGAAAATGTAGATGGCGTTGTTTTCGCTTTCAAGGTTAAGGTTTTTTTTTTGATTCTTTTTGATTAATTAACAATTCATTTAATTACAGATGTTAATTGTTAATAACAATTTGTTATTAATTAGTTGGTGATGATTATTTTGATTGTCAGGTTGTGGTTTATCTCGACTGGAAATGTACCGCTGGAAGGGTTAGTTAATCATGTAAGAATTAATTTCGGTGAGTAAATGGAAAGTTAAGTTTTTTTTATTTATGATGATTGTTTTTTCTTCATGGTTTTAATTGTTAACTGGATTAATTTAATTTCTTTCATTTTTTTTGTTCTTCTCATCTGTTAATCATTTCTAGCAGATTTTGTTTTCTGTCATTGGGGCGATTGAATGTTCGTGTAATCATTGGATTCTCGTTAATTCTACAGGTTTTGGATCTCTACTTTGTCTACTTTGTGAGTTACTTTCTGTTTATAGATTTTAATTGTTACAGAAATTTATTCCTAAATTTAGTCTAATTTATGGTAATTTCTTAATCAGGTAATCTGTCTAGTTGGTTGATTACAGTCTCAGAATTGATTTATGAAAAAAAAACTTCAATTAATTATGAGAATGATGAAGAGATGATTATGTAAACATCGCCTTTGTTTATAGGAAAGGAAATCTTTTTTCTCTCTCCTTTTGATTAGACAATTGAATTATTTGGGAGAACAAAAAACCGATTGACTTTTTTAAGATTTTGATCTTATTTTTTACCTTCTCCATTTTCAGAATCAACTCGAATCCTTGGTAATCGTCAAAGTGTTTGGTTAATTGTTTATGATCACCAGCAGTCGCAAACGAAGCCGTTGACCTGCTCAAAGATTTTCACCTGTCCCCTTAAAGATTTTGTCGAAAGAAGAAAAGAAGAAAATAATTCGTATAAGGGTCAGCCTTTGCGTTCGATCTTTTCTTGTTCTCTTCTTCCTTCCTTCCTTTCTCTCTTTCTCTCTTGGTTTCTTCCTTCCTTCCGATTTCCCATTCCCCCTTCCCCCTTCAGAATACACTATTCTACCATTTCCTACCCTCTTCATCTTCATCTTCATTTCCAATCTTTCTTATCTTTCTTTTTTTCCTTCTACTACAGTTTCCAATTTCTTAAAATACATAGTGTGTATGATGGAGAGTCCAGTCTAACAGCGGTCAACATTAAAAACCACAACAACAACAACAACAACCCAATCCATGGAAGAGAGAGAGAGAAAAAAGGAAGACGAAGGAAGAGGAAATTAACAAAAAGAAAGAACGATTTTCTCTTTTTTTCTTCTTTTTCTGTGAATCAAGTGGAAAAACAAAATGTCTCGTCTGGACTAAAGACTCGGACACAGTGTTTAAGGTGGAAAAATGGCAAAAGAGCAACAAGAAAGAAAGAAGAAAAAAAAGAGAAAAGAAAAGTTTACATTTCTAAATAGGTAAGAAAAGGTTAGGTCTCGTTGATTATTGGGATTAAGTTACCGAGAAAAGGTGTGTTATCAAGAAGAAGAAGAAGAAAAAGCAAAAAGAAAAGAAAATGGACTGACCAAAGAGTTACCTGTTCCTTTGGTGCGTAAAGGCCAATATAGTTTAATGTGTTTTTCTTTCATCATTATTATCACTTTTCATCTTTCGTTTGAATTTCAAGTTGAATTTTATCCTTCTTTTTTCTTGGAATTTGCAGATCAAACCAACAAGTGATTATGGTTACCTTATTTTTACCTTAATTCTTTTTTTTCCCTTTCTTTCATTTTACCTTTTATTTTTTTATTCTTTTCTCCTTTCTCGTTACACTGGCCCCTTACAGGTTGCTACGTATTATCAACATGCTACAAACCCCATTGAGACTTTACCTGGACACACACAATGGAAACTGAGAGAAAGAGAAACAACAAAAAGAGAAAACATAAAAAAAAACTCAACGAATTTATAACTTTTTCTATCTAACCACTGGTGACGATCCCCTTACTTAATTTACGTAATTTGTTGATAAAATTTTTCGGACGAAATATAACATATTAACCATTGGAACTGTTGCTATATAATCATTGGAATAATTAGCTGATTGAACATCGCGATGGTTGTTGGACAATCAACCAATTGATTCTGTCAAGTTGAACATTTTTCAGTGGACATTTGAATTACATTTCTCTGTGATTATGAAAAGTAATCGCCACCACCAAGTACCCATACTTAGAGATATAAGACATTCACAGTGGGTAGTAGGCTTGAAGAGAAAATATCTTACCACCTCAACGCTTTTAGTGGTCAGCAAAAAAATGCATCTCTCACCTTTAACCTCATAGAGTGATCTATGAAAATTGTCAAAATGGACAGGTTGACCCAATCAGAACATCTCAAAGTGTCTTAATACATACACTCTAATAATAAGAACTTTTTTTTCTCTCAGATTCAAACAATCAAAGTCTCCATCTTATCCACAAATTGACCAACACATAACAAGGAACCAAAATCTTGAACCTGTCTACCTGTGATTCTAACAATTGATTCGTTAAAAAATTTTCTTCTAATTTTACTTTTCTCTCCTTCTTATCCATCAACAATCTATATAGACACCGACCCATGAGATCTCATCAATTTGGCGAAAAATCTGTAAGATTATTAAGAGAATTGACTTCTCAAAGTGTATCTTAAGAAAACACTGACCAATTCACCTTATTCACCATTAAGGAAATCGCTCTCAAATATCTAATGGTCAATGGATTTAAACCAGAACAATATATATAAAAGTTCATTGGCATTATAATCAACTAATCATCAACATCTTTACGAGCAAAGTGAAACCAATTTAAAAGCAACGTTATAACAACAGTGAGGATTAAGATTGATTATGACGTTTGGATTCAATTCAAATCAATTGTCGTTAACTTTTTTCCTCTCTTCTTTTCATATCTTCGTGTTAACTATTAACCTCTAAACAATTTAAACAATTTAAGATAACAAATTAACGTTTATCCTAAATAACAGGTCTCTCTCTCTCTCTCTCTCTTTATTTGATTGTCAATACAATCAAATCAATTGTATAAAGAGAAAAAAAAATTCGTTAACTGATGTGTTTTGATTATGAATCTAAATGATTAGTTGAATCATTATAATCTTCTAGTAAATGATCTGTATTATTACAGTTAATCATTTGATTTCGTGATTACATTGAGATGGAAGAGAAAATTTTTTTTTTCTTCTTAATTTCAACAACGTGCAAACAGATCTATCAATATCAATATAAATCGTCAACAATTACAATGGTCAAAATGTATATAATTTCTTGACCAGAAGAAAAACGAAAATCTAATTTTCTCTTTTTGTTAAAAGTCATTTATTTATATAAACAATTGTAATTGTTACATATTTTGATACATCTTCATTAACCTTATCCTTATATTGACAAGTGACCATTGAGATAAATGCAAAACATTGGTAAACAAGTAAAACCAAATCAACTCTAATTGTAACAAGTTAAACTACTTTAAATAGTAATTAACTTTTCCACCTTGTTTACCTTTCTAATAGGTAAATGTAACAGTGATGGTCGATCGTGATGAGCTAAAAATGAAAATAGTAACTATTATCTTCGGGAACCGGAAACGATGTCTAAGGATCTCACGTAAGGTAATGGTCACTTCCCGCTTTCTCTCTCTCTCTCTCTCACTCTCTCTTCCTCTTTCTTTCTAATTATCTTCTTGTTTTCAAGTTCTATTTTTTTTACATTTGTTCTCATCAAGTTTACTCATGATTTATAAATGATTATTCTTTCCAGGTAGTAATCAGAATGAGAATTCTCATAAACACTCAATGGAAATACAGTTGATGATAAATGGACAATGACAATTAACACCTAATTGGATTTTGGATTATATTTTTTCTCTACTGAGAAAAACTGACCATTAACAATAAGAAAATGAGATTGGTCAAAAAGGAGAGAAAAGAAAAAGGATAAAAAATGGTTTCGTTATTAACTGATTGTCAACAATCAATGGAAGAGAAAATTTATCTCTGTAAATGATATTGGTAATTACGATGAATATGTGAATGATACATTCCAATCCCAAACAAAGGTCAATTTATCAACGGGAACATTTGATTAACAATAAGTTAATTTGATTACTATTACAACTTATGGATAGACAACATTAGGATTGGTCATTTTTACTATTGGCTAATTTGGTGAGTCAATAAAGTGAGGAAAGAGAGAGAGAGAGAGAGAGAGAGAGAGAGGTGAGTAGATGACAATCCTATCCCCAAGCATATCAACTCCCACCTCCCTAACTAATATAATCATCATTGTCCAATATTAACAACGCAACCCTAATAACCTCCTTCTTACCTTTACCCTAAGTTCCGTTTTTTATATAACATACTTATTATTGACTCAGTTGATTATATTATTATTGCTATTTGATTGTTCAATAGTATAATTGTCTAACCTTTAGATATTAGTGTTAACTTTTACTACTAATGTGATTAGTTAGGAAAAGGAAATAACTAAAAAAATCGAGGCTCGGCTCGAAAAGGTAAGTTCATCTCTGTGTATTAATAGTTACACCGGAACAAAATGATTTTCATCCTCATCCTCATCCTCATCTCTCTCTCTCTCTCTCTCTCTCTCTCTCTCTCTCTTGGGTCAGTTTTCTCACTCCGTTATCCTCTCCCTACTAATCCCAACATAAACAAGCCTCTAATCATCTTAATCAAGGTAACTACTTAAATAGTTACTATTTCATCCCTCATAATCAAGGAGCGAACGGAAGTTTCTAATATATTATTGATTACATAGAAATTATGAAAATACAATTGTTTTCGTTACAATTGAATTAGAATTAATTCTTCTGGCAACTTTTGATTAACCTTTAATTTTATTTTCCTTCTTAGGTTCCGATTATTTTTCGCGCATTTTTATGATGATAAACAACGATCAATAATCAATTGGAATCAAAGACCAACAAGAAAAAAAAATCGTACCAATGGTCAACTCATTTGATTATCCTTTCCAATTGATTGTTTACTTTAATACAGATTGGAAAAGTTAATCTTAATCATGTTAATCTACCGAATCGAGTAGGATAGAGACTAACCTATGAACAAACATTAACTCATTGTAATCACAATTAACCAACTATTCAACTGGGTCAACAGTTAATTGTGTGAATGAAAATTTATACACATAAAAATTAACAATCAAGTTAATCATGTTAGTAAAAGATAGCAAGAAAAACTAACAATAATTTGACAAAGAGACAACAAAAATGCCCTGAGGAAGAGGAAACAAGGATGATGATGATGATGATGATAAGGAAGACACAGCGGAAAATAACATAGGAAATAACAAAAAGTACAAAATATCTGGACAATGGTCAGTTTTTTGTTTAAATTAAACACGAAAAATTAACTAACCATAAAAAAACTGAAAAGGAAACAAAAATTTTAGGTCAAATGATTAAACCAAATTACAATTACAATTAAACAAATCTACTGATAAACAATGGGTCAGTTTAATTGTCAAACTCACCTTAGATTAAGATGTCTCCAAGTTAATCATCTTTAATTGTTGATCAACAATTTGCCAACAGGAGGAAAAGAAATACCTCAACTTAAATTGTTACACTAATGATAATTTTGCGATTTAAGTTAATTAAGTGAATCCGTTTCTTGGACAACAACAAATAACATTTATTATTATCATTAATCTGATTAACTTTAATTCAATAAGCATAATGATTAAATGCCACTGATTGTGATTAGTAAATGATGATATATGTTGTTTATTGGTAAAAAAATGCTCAAAATCAGAGGGTATTGATTAAGACAGAATTAGTGAGATTCTTGGTGAGAATTAGCAACAATCAGAATGTTTAACCTGACCTGTTAATAGTTAATTCTAGAGACAACAACAATTCGTGATTAAAGCTTAATAGTAATTGTAATTGTCTACAATTTAGATTTTTTTTCAGATTCTTGCAAGGAAAATAAATCTTTCCAATTGAGTTATAGTGATAAATCATTGAGATTCAATTGGTGACAATCATTAAGAAGATACAAATGATTAAATGTATCATCTTGATTCTTATCTTGATCCTCTCAGGTCACTTGTTATCTTGACCTTTACACTGACCTTTATCATCTCCGTGACTTGTTACATGAAACTGACCATTGGCTAATCTTTAACATACACATACACACACCTTAACTTAACAACAATTGATAATAAATGATACGACTAATCAACTTTTCCTTGTTAAAATAATTAATTGTTTCATCGTTAACAATCAATGGTGATCAATTTTAACACAATATCATAATTAAAATTTTAAATTGATTCTTGATCGTTTAATTTATATTCTTGATTGTGATCATCAAGTTAATATTTGGAAATATTTTTAATATTTAATTAAATTTGATAATTTGCTTTTCTCAACTTAACAATTTAAACTGATCAACTTTGATTAATTGTTTACTCAATTATATTATTATTACAATTATCATTGAATTATTATCATCGTTGACAATTTAAGATTGCGTGTTAACCAATATTTATTATTATCTTAATTGTTGATTGTTAATTGTTGATAACATTGAATCAAGTTTATTTTATATTCACTCAACGATGAAGTTAATTGTTATCATAATGATAACAATCAATTTTAAATTAGTAACTAAGATATTAACTTATATATATATGAGCAATAATTTACTAAATTGTTATCATTAGGATTGATCAAAACAATTGGTTAATTTAATTTGCCAAGTTGATTTTATTAATTGTTATTAATGATTAAATTAAAATGAAGAGAAAACATTTTGTTTGATTATTGTTGACAATTAAAGACAATTAAACAAAATATTATATTCACCTGAAGGGTGTGTTCAACAGGAAATAATTGTCTCAATGATTAATAATATTTTCCCTCAACAATCAACAGCAATCAACAAATGACAATTAGTTAATAGTTGCGATATTGACAATGATCCGGTTGGATCAACATCCTTTTTTTGTTGCATCAACTTAATTATCATTTAATTTCATCATCAACCTGTTGATTAATCATCAACATTATCATGTGTTAATGGTTAATAGTCTTAATTAGCATCTTAATTAACAACAATTAGATAGTAATTGAGTAAAATTTTCATTCATATTTAAATTAATTATCAACTAAAATTAATAATAATAATAACAAAGATGAGATTAGAACCTCAATAAAGTGAAACCTTAAGCAATTTAAATCCAATGGAGGATAAAACTGACAACCGGAAAGATTTAAGTCTAATTGTTAACAATTTGATAATGATGATAATAATTATGTTACAATTACCGTTACTAATCATCATATTTTTATCTTCATCTTATCATCCTTGTCATTCACGGTTCCTTGACTTTTGAACATCCAGTAAACAGTTAATCCCAAAGGTGTGTCGATATCTTAACGTTAATCCTTTGATAACAGTGTATTTAACCACTGTCATTGTTAATTACCTTGATTACGGTGTCAACAATTAGTCAATTAAATGATTTCTCACTTAATTAATTACCAAAAATCCAAAAAACAACAAGAGTTTCGGTTATCGTTGCGATCGATAAACTTTTGGAATCGTTTTTTACTCGCAACGAAAAACAATTACAAATACGAAATTCTTGTTAATTGTTCAAATTGTCAGTTAATTGTGATGATTAACTTGATGATGATAATTTTGAGATTCTTGAGTCCCACGGTTTTTCAAGATATTAGATTAATAAAGATGAGGATGAACAAGGAAATATTAAAATTTCTTGTAAGTTAATTTCAAGGAAAGAAACAAGAATCAAGAATCTGGGATCTTGTTGTTGTTGTTGTTGTTGTTGGTCATCATCATGTTATCATTATTAGCACTGGTCATCATCTTTTTCTCTCTTGCTTATAGACTTAGGAGAGAACTGACCTTAAAAATGGTCAAGAAAAAGGTCACTGGGCGTCGATCACACAGTTCATAGAGATACATGTTAGAATAGATTCTCAGGTTAAAGAAAAAAAATCCTCAGACACTTAATCAACGCTCTTCTTCAACCATCTTCATCCTCATCTTCATTATTTTCTCATCTTTTCTAACTTGTTATTTATCTTCATCTCTCTCTCTCTCTCTCTGGTAGAAGCGAGAATTGTTCATCATCTCTATCAACATGAAATACTTGCCAAGATGTAATAGGTAAGTAAGTTCACGCCAATAGGAGATGAAATCGCCCGAAGGCAATATGAATATGAAGTAAAAAATGATGATGATGATGATGAACATTGTGAAATATAATTAGTTATATCAACTAAATAAGTGGCCTAATAGTCCGTTTTAGTGCCAGATATTGACTCTATCAATTATAACGGATCGCACTTGTTTACTGGAATCACCATTTCGAGGATAATCTTCATCTTCCACCATCATCTTAATCTATTCTCCCTTGGGTGCAGCCTAAAAGAAAAGCGAATTAGAAAAAGAAAAATACTTGTTAATAGTTCCATGTTAATTTGTCTCAATGGTCTCTTTAAGTGTCCAATTTATTATCATGTCCGAAAGAGAGAGAGAGAGAGAGAAACAAAGTAACATTGACCTTAACATGTTGCGAATGACCAGTAAGAGTAAAAAATACTTACATGATGGATAATTAATCTCCATCATTACAACGTATTAAATACCAATAATTACTCATGTAAATGTTTTCTCATTAGAGGAAAATATTAGTTACAAATGTAGAATTGGAAATAAATTGTGGTTGATTAAATTGTATCGATAAAATTAACGATTCGAGAATTGAATTGGCTCCAAATCTGATCATCTGTTAGCACTAAACTAATCGCAAAGGAGACACTTTGAAATTCAAAAGATAATAACGTTTATCTTTACAACCGATGCTCTTGATAATCTAATTTAAATGTTTCAATTTTATTCTTTTTTTTTAATATTCTTTTTCTTCTGGTTAATTAATTAATACTAATGATGTATAATAGTGAGAGTTTTTTTCACTGCTGTGACCTTGATAACTAACTCGAAGACAATATGTATATTATAATCTCGAACCACAAGTAAAAAAAAATATGATTTCTAATGATAAGCATCGTAAATGGTAAGGAAAATGGCCTTAAGCTTTTCATCCTCATCTTCATCAAATCAACATCATTTTCATCATTAAAGGTAAGTTATCTTGATACTATTTTATTATATTGCAGCTGGAAAATGAGTTTATCGTTGAAAGTTATTAGATTTAAAAAGCGGGTTTCGAGGCACGAGCCAAATGTCAGTTAACAATATAATATTTATTCAAATGTCAATAGATAGAGGGAAGAGAGAGTAAATCTGCTTCTCTCCCTCTTATCATCATTATTTCTCTCTCTCTCTCTCTCTCTCTCTCTCTCTCTCTCTCTCTCTCTCTCTCTCTCTTATTCCCCTTCTTTCTTTCAGGTCAGGTATCATAAGTCTATGTGTATACCTATTGTTTGAACCATTCGATAAGGAATCAGAAAGAGAGAGAGAGAGAGAGAGAGAGAGAGAGAGAGAGAGAGAGAGAGAGAGAGAGTCAGGTCAGACTTTATTACTTCGTGGATACTGAGGTTCGTCTCTCGTATTTTTCATGCTTATGTATGATAGGCAGGTGATTCTAGTGCACAAACAGCCACACACTCACACTTCCCCTCACTTTCATTACAAGGTTTTCATCATCATTATCAACAACAAAAACATCAAAAGGAGATCAACTAATGAGAGAGAAAGATAAAGAGGGAGAATAGGACCTGATATCTCTCTCTCTATTTAATACATTATGATAATAATACTAACGGATGCTTATGAAAATTTGTGAGGGAGAGAAAGTCTCGCGACTCCGGGTGTTATTGCATTTCCTCTGAAGGCACGCTTATGTGCTATCAACACGCAGGTTGTGTCTCCATGTTTTTGTTATTATGTATGCTTATAATCAACAACAATCAACAGTAATAACAACAGTACCTTAAAAATTGACAATCAAAACCCTAATCAAACTATCGAGCGCGCGTGTCTCATGTATCCCAAAAATCATCATAATGATGATTACCGATCATTTTATTTCTAGTGCATCGATGATGATAATTTCACTCTCTCTCTCTCTCTCTCTCTCTCTTCCCTTTCATAAATATTAACGTACTTTTTTGAATCCACACTTCGATCTCATTATGAATATTTGATTCCATTTGTGATTGTTTACATTTCCAAATATCATATCATATTCCTATCATATAATTTAATCGATAACATGATTAACATTAATTATCTTCTCAAATTGACTTAGCAACATTACTTGATTTCTAAGATTAATTTAGTTTGTTGCGTTTTTTGGACCAACACGATACCCAAACTGAGGCTAATTGTTTGCAACAATCAACTTGAGTTTCTCTTGTTTTTCAAATGTTCACATGTATTAATAGGATGTACATTAGAATAGAGGAAACATCGTGAACTTTTCCTCTTCCTTTCATGTTGTTGATCCCTAGAAGTTCAAAGTTAAAAGGTCGATATTTTCGCTGTCAATGGTTAACAGTTGTTATTATTGAGAGAAGAGCCTGTTGCTTGTTTCACCTTCATCTTCATCTTCTTAAATATCTTCCTTTTGGATTCTATTTTTCATCATCTTGAGCCACAAGAGAAAGAGAGAAACAAAAAAGTGGCCTAACATTTTCTCACCTGTCCTGATGGTGGTTCCCATTTTCCACAACGAAAAGACTTTGGCCTTTTCGACTTGCCTTCAACATAATCAGCATTTTCTTATGTTTTAGCTTCTTCATCATCTTGACCATCATCATCATCTCCATCATTATCATCATCATCATCTCTCGGTAACCACGTTTCAACCTGCCAATAACAACGAGAATGCAAGACAGTTGATGTACTTTCAGCGTTTTAAACGCTTTTTTCAAACCGATCATGATTCGTCTATGTGTTTATCTTGCTGTCGATTGAAGGTTAAATTTTTTGTCATTTGTGATGACGGAAGGTCAATTAAGGGGTTTACCATGATGATGATGATGATGATGAGAGGAAGAAGATGTTGATATTACCACACACAAACATAATCGATGCAATTACATCAGAATAGTAACAATTAGGCTTTGATTTTATTCCACATTCAGTGATCAACTTTTTTCCCTTCCAAGAAAGATAATCATTTGTCTGTCATCATTTGACCATCAATTTCAAATCAATCAAATTCACTAAGAAATCAACTGATAATCAATTAGATGGCCTACAATTAACATCAACCATCATCATCAACTTACAGGTCGAAAGTTAATATAATTAAATCAACGGAGAAACAATTTCAATCAAATCGTTTTACTTATTGATAAATTGTTTTCTAACTTTTTTTTTCCTGTCTTACAATTAACGAGTTACCTTAACAATCTGGTTAATTGTGATATTTTTCAATTAACCCGATTATTGGTTAATCATTAATAATCAACAACAACAAAGTCAATTGTTTGTCTTGACCCTTCACTTTCAATGGTCAGTTGGAAAGAGACACAACTCATTACATTAAATCATTTATCACTTTAATTCAATGACAATACAATCAAAGGAAAAACGTGAGAATCAACTTGTTGATTATTATCATTATTTTCCTACTGATTAATAACATTAGGAAATAACAGAGTGTTGGTCATCATTGGGTCAGTTTCCATTACCACAATGGAGGAAACTGGACATTCATTAGTCCATAACAAAAATATCAATGTTTCCATTCAACTCCTTTTACCTTGTAAGTGTCTCACTCGTTTTTAAGGTTTCACCAAACTAATTAAACATTTGACCATTAATACTAATCATTTTGGACAATATTGACACCCTACTGACACCCAAAAAGTGACCGGAAACAATGAGAAGGGAAAAAACAACAACAACCGTAACAATGATTAAGTTAATTACAGTATATCATAGGTCAGATATATTTATGGAGTTTTGGTTAACTCGAGATCAAATATCGAAGTTGTATCAACACTTATATTGAGAAAATTGAAAAGTTAAGAGAAAAATTTGTTCTAATTTAAAATGAACACTATTTTGACCACCAAGATTAAATTGTTATTTAAATTGGAATCACTTGAATATATATTTCTTCCTGTTCCCACTTAACTAACATTCAATTGATTGTTAAACAGGGAAGCAAAAATATTACCAAATGATTAGCATATTCAGCTAATAATAATACATATCATCATCATCGTCATTGTGATTATTACATATTATTAGCCAAGAGTAAAGGTAACATTTTAAAGATGACCTTAAGTGTAAAGGTAAAGGGAAGTAAAGAAAGTTACAGGTAACAAAACCGCTATCAAGACTTTTCTTACATTCACCTTAGATTGCTGATTGATCACCTAAGGGTCATTTCCAGAGAGAGAGAGAGAGAGAGAGAAATAAAGACAGACCGATCCCATCTTCATCTTTATCCTCATCATCTTTTTTTCCTTGTTGAGGTTCCCAGGTCACCCCGTTAACATAAGGACTTGACTGGTTTAATTTAATTCATAGGTCATCATTATCATCCAATTGTTGTTGTTGTTGGTGTTATAGTTTACAGGGAATCATCTTGGGAAAACTGTGAAGACAAGATAATAATAAGATCCTATGGTTAATATTCAGGGAGAGAGAGAGAGAGAGATGAACAATATTGTTCAGTTATTATCAATACTCACGGTGAGCAAATGATTATCATATCATTTCTATTTATGTAATAACATGTTTCATCTTTGCAACATTTCCTGATGATCATCACGGGACAAAAATGGATCATCTCTTTGTCGATAGAAAACTATGATCGATCGGTGATCATCTTCGTCCTAATCATCGGCCAGTAATCAGGTCTCTCAGTGATCATAACAGCAGTTATATTCATCTTCATCAGTTATTATCATCGTTATCGATTAAGGTTAATGTTATATTAGTTAAAGTTGATGAGAAGCTGAACAAAAATGATCTAATACCTTTTCTTTTTGTTTGCATCACTGCCAATTGATTGTGTTTATCATTTCAATGAGCGATTTAGCTTCCGATTAGATTGTAAACAAAGGATTTACATCGGAGGTAAAGGATGAACAAGACAAAGTGATCAGAGGTGAAAGGTTATGGTGGTGGGAGGTGAGGAAATGTGATGTAAAAGAGACAGAAGTTTCCATGTCGAACTGGGTCATCATCGGTCAGAAAGAAGAAAAAAAGGTGTTTTTATTGTTTTTTTTTATTTCGTCAATTTCTCTCTATCCATACTCACCCGCGTTCCGTACTTTACCTCATCAATACCACTTCCCCCTTCATAACTGGTAATGCAAAAGGTAAGATGGTTAATAACGTGCACAATTGGCGCGTGCCACGGACTGAAAAGCACGAGAGTGAGGGAGAAAAAAGCAGGAGGATAAGAGAGAGAGAGAGAGAGAGAAAGAGAGTGGCGAGTGGACTAAAGGTGACCAGTAACAAGGAGGAAAAGGGAGGTAAAGGGATGAAAGAGAGTTCGAGGTGAACCGTACATTTACCTCTCTCATTTTACTCTGTTAACCAAAAGAGTTTGAAGTCTGCAACATTTTAACTGTTTATCCTTTTCCTTGGGTTGACCTTTAACAATCTGATGACCTCGTGTGCCTGGTCATTGAGACACAATAATAACAAGAGAAAGACCAAGGAAAATACTCTTTCATTTGCTCTCGTTTTTTTTTTCTTGCAATGGTCATTGTATTTGTTGTCTGTCATTCTCGGTCCTTTCCTTTGGTCACTTGTAGAAACTGCAAAGAGAAAGAGAGAGAGAAAAAAACAATTTAACTTTCTTTTCCTAAGAGAAAACAAAAGATGTCATTTTCTTTTCGGTGGTCACCTTATACTCTCATTAACCAATTTATCTCTAAGAAAATGATGCGGCCACAAGAAGATAAAGAAGATAATCCAACAGAGACAATTAACATTCGAAGATATCAACTAAAAAAAGAGAGAAAATACTCAGTTAAACAAAAGAAAGAAAGAAAAAATGAAAGGTAAACCTTGTTTTCTTTTTTTGTTCTTTGGAGAGAAAAAAAGTTATTCGAAATTGCTTCGAGCCTTTTTGTAACCTTTGTGTTCCTTTTCAACCTGTTACATTTAAGAAAAAGAATTGAAAAGAGTGTAAAAATGTTCGAGCAAAACAAGTGACGAAAAAAAAGAATAAACTTTGTCTCTTTTCTCCTTTGATAATCTCAATTCTCTTTCACTTTAAAGAAGAAAATTCTATGAGAATGAAGGATAATACTTCCATTATCTTAATCCACCATCACCAATTGAATAGTTACAACGAAAAACGATTAACAATTAAAAGACAAGATAATAGTTGTTGGGAAAAATAATCCAAAAGTCTTGACTGTTCAAATGAATTATTAGTTAACTAATTACCTTAATCAGGGTTAGTCTTTTGAGTTAGAAAAAAAATAGTTAACAATATCTAAATTTACAGATGAATTAATCTGATGAATCCATTATGATGGAGGAGGTGGAGGTGGTTGATGATGGATACCGATAATATTATAACCATAGAGAGAGAGAGAGAGTGGATGAAGATGGGATGAGAAAGATGATAATGATGATAGCAAGAGACAATATTCTCACGGTTGATTGTTGATTGTTTGCATTATATTGTATTAATATTATATATATATGAATCACTTTGGTTCCTCCGTTTATTTAAATGGATCCAAATTTGGTAAGAGATTAAAGTTCACAGAAAAGGCAGAGATCTCATTGATATGGGCCATCGATTAACCTGTAATTAGCATAAAAAGATGATGATATTAATAATAAACAATAAGCAACAACAATTGATAAACTTCAGGTATGAAATTAAATTCAACGTACCGTTAAACAATAAGAGTAACAAACAAAATGATTAGCTGATGATTAAAAATGATCATCAGTAATTTAACAAAAAACGGAAACAATTTTAAGGTCTTTTTGTTTAGATGATGGTGATAATAGTATAAAATTAAACATCGTAATGATTGTAACAACAACTTCCGATTAATGTTTGCAAGTCTAATAATAATATGTAGATCAACAAAAACAACAACAACAATCAGATGAGTGTAACTGATGATGCAAACTAAAAATAATCAAAAGTAATCAGTAATTACATGGTCAAAGAAATTACCAAACATCATCAATATCATTAGTTAAAGTTTAACAATCAATGATTACATGACATTAGATTGATAATGTTTACCAGTTAACTACACACATCAAACAGATCTAATTATCTTCGTTGTCGTTTCCGTTTTTAAAGCCTTACATAAAGTAGTTCGGTAGCTTAAATAGACTGGACTGTCAAGCCTTTTCCCGTGGTTGTTGTTGTTGTTTTTTTTGGGGCACGTTCAAGAGATGATGAGGATGATGATGATAATCTTTAACATTAAACGTGTCTGATTGACCGTGTTAACCTTGCCTTTGACCTGTGGAAGAAACAAAAAAAAAATTATAATGTCGATCTGAAAGGTTAGGGAGATGATGTAGCTGTCCATTAAGTAGGATATTAGTAGTTACCTTTAGAAGGAGCCAACAACAACCAAATGGTCTTGGACATCATCTTATATTGATAATCATCATCATATTGATTGTGTGTAGTTGATTAGTTAACTAACTAACTACGAGAATCAACGATAACATTGTTGTTGTTGTGGTGTTGTTGCTGTTACTCTTGTGGTTCCTGTGGTTAGTGGGTTGAATCGTAGATGGATAATCAATGAACCTTTCAATTAGGAATCAAGCATCAAGATAATTAAGGCATAATAATAACAGGAGAAGGTATTAAAAAACTATATATAAGATAGAGATAGAGAAAGATAATAAGGAGAAGATAAATATTAAGAAGATGGTGATTATGATAGGGAAAAGAGTAGATATAGAAAAAGTAGATGATGATGATGAGCAAAGAACAGCATTTGGATAACGGCAAGATAATAATGTTAAAATTCACAGAGCGAATCAACATCATCATCATCATCATCATTTTCTAATAAACATTTGAGAGAGAGAGAAAAAAAAACGAACAAGATGAGGAGAAAACAACAGGTTTCCTTTGGTGTGGTGGTGATGGTGGTGATCTTGGGGTGGAGTGGAAGAGATAATGTTGAAAATGGTTAATTTGTTTCTCCAAATTTACCTATGGTTAACCTTTTGCCACGCGAATCCAAAGTATCCATTTATTATGTGTATCCAATCATTAAACATTCAAAGTTACCAATTAACAAGAGTTTCATCACAAGAGAAAAAATCAATTTAAAGAAGTAAAAAAAATAAAACCTAAATTGTAATTGGAAAGTTGATCATCATCATCATCATCATCATGTATTATTACATTAGTACATTAACTAGATTAACATGGAGTAAAACATAGTAACAATTTACCGAAGAAAAAGAAAACCATCTAAAATAATTAAACTAAAAGAGATTAAATTAACTGAGGAGAGAAAAAAAACAAATTCTAATTAAGAGAACATATGATTTTCTATAGTTCAAAATGTCCGCCATCAACTATTCTAAAGTTTAACTAACCCTTTGTGGTTATTTTTGTCTCCGTTTGTTAATTGTGATTGTGTTTTGATTTCTTTTTGTTTTTGGAACAATTGATTAGTTTTTTTTTGTTCTTTTCTATTTCAATGATTGATTTAATCAACAGATGATTGGAAATGTTTTAATATCAAGAGAGTAATGAAAAGATATTTGCTTAACATAAAAGGTAAGGTCTCTCTCTTTGTTTTTTGCTTCATCATCTTCAATATGTTAACATGTATACTTAATGTTGTTTACTCTTTGGAAACAATTTACTGTTTTAATCCAGGTTAATCTATTTGGGATAATTAACCGATTACACTGGAAACAATATGTTCGGGATTGTACCACAGGAGAAACAAAAGTAAAGAAGTGTTGATATCACAACGTTAACATTAACTTATCATCTCTACAATTTTGTCTCAGTTTTAATGATTGACTTTTGTTTTTATTCTATTCTATTAATAATTTTTATTTTATTTTTCTCTTTTTCTGTTTCTTTGTTTCTCTTCTTCTCGCAGGCTAATCATGAGATCAATTTTTGGAATATTCTTTGGAGAGAATACTATGGTTTCTTGTGAAATGAATGTTATAATTCACACGATAAATTGGTAACCATTGAAGCTTAACATTCACACACATCCAATAGTTACAGTTATTGGAGGTGAAAACAAAACTAGGAGAATATGAAGAAAAAACAATAACAATCCACCAATGGAGTTGATGAATTTTAATATTACAACAATTTAATCATGTGTTGATATGTATCGAGATTAAAAGGGAAACCATTAAGTCTCGTAATTCAGGACCATAACAGATAGTAACTTACACACGGGAAAAAAAGGCCAACAACAATTAGAGAGACTGTAAAAATTAATCAAATTGTTTGTGTGTGTGTGTGTGTGTGTGTAGTTTAAGTGTATTATTATTAACCTGTATTGACTAATTAACTAACCAGTGCCCTGATTGTTCCAGGTGAAATTATTTACCTGCAGCAATAATGATAATAATTTTTGACACTTTACACTCGCAGTGAACACAATGTTGTCGTAGTGACTGTAGTCAAGGATAATCATCATGGTGATAAACAAAAGCAGCAGAAGGAGAAACAACAACAACAATAACAAGGACAAGAACAGTTGATTTTAACTGTTGATGATTAAAAAATAAAGACATGGTAATAAAGTTAATCTACTAACTACAGTTGGCATTCTGGATAATGATGATTAGGATAAAACAGTAATCAGAACGTGTCGCCAGTTGATAAACCTGTTGATTGTGTGTGCATATGTTAATTGTTGCCTTCGATGATCAAGTTAGTATATTTAAAATTTTCACATGTCGTTCTCATCATTATCCTCACCATCATCTTATTTCATGATAATAATTATTAGTTATTATTACATTTAATTTCAATTTTGTTTGGATGATGATGATGATAACTTTTCATCTTTGCAGTTTCAAACACTGAAAACAAAATCAACACATTTTCAATCTTCCATTTGCTTTTTGAGACTTTTTCTTGTGGCTTGCTAATTGTTTTTTCCTAAATTATCAAGCAGGTTTTTACTCTTGATTATGATTATGGTGATGATGATGATGATGATGATGATGATAGTCTTTTTGTCTTCAAGGTTGTTGTGTTGTTACAAATAACCTTCCCTGATCCCTTGATACTCAACCTTAAGATTTTGTCCCTCTAAAAGTCAACCTGTTGCTTTGCAATGTTAATCATGGTTATCATTGAATTGATCGCTGTCCTTTACATTCAATTGTTAATTACCCACATTAATGAGTATTTAAGTGTCACTGAATTAGCTTTTGTTGCGTTATCTGTATTAATGATGCATAAAATTAATAATATTTATCATAATGATGATTTACCTTTTTCTCACCTGTCTTTTCAATCTGATTCATTTTCAGTTTGATTAAGATTGATTTGGTTCAATTTTTCATTATATTGAAATCTACTAATTATTACTTAATTGTAACAGATTTTCATTGAAATTTGATAGTATTTATTATAATATTATTGAGTTTCATTGAAAAAATTTTCCTTCTAATTTCTGATCTTAAACGATAATTGAAATGCAAAAGGTTTTTTTTTCTTTCTTCAACAAGTGCAACAATTTATGATCAAATTGTTGCAATTAAAATGCTTTAATTGCTTGTACATTTGGTGTAATATCGAAGGAAAAGTTTTTCGATTGAAAAAACGACTTTTCTTGCAGAAAATGATGAAGATTAAGTTAAGAACGATGATGATGAACGTATTGGGATGATGACAAAGATGAAGAATATGCATAAATGTAAGGGAGAGAAATCGAAGATGATAATTCTAGAGGGAAAGGGGAACAAAGGGGGATCCGACGGAAGGATAGAGGACAAGATGATGGAAAAGAAAGAGAAAGAGAAAGAGAGAGAATTGAAGAAAGGGGAAAAATTGGGAGGAGGAAAGAGGGTGAACCGTTTATGAGTCCACAGTGGAAAAGGTTAGCATCTGCCTTTACATTGATCAGTTATCATTGGTTTTGCTCACTCAGGCCACTTTATCCCTATGGCTTCTTACTCTCTCTCTCTCCTTATCATCTTCGTCTTCTCTTTCTATCTTCTCTTTCTTTCACCTGCCCGACCAAAGATGAAGATGAAAACGAGCCACGAGTTAGGGCGGTAATAGAGTGAGAGCAGAGTAAAGAGAGAGAGAGAGAGAGAGAGAGAGAGAGAGAGAGATGATAAGGAAGATAGGCAGAGAGAAGAGAAAGAGAGGAGGGTGGATGATAAGAAAGACTCTTTCTTTTCTCCCTTACGATCGACGGTAAGTTAGTAGTTATTGGTATGAAGGTTACATCGACCGATCAGTTTACCTTTGAACCGAGTCGAGTTAACATCGAACAGAAAGTTTTCAGTTTTTTTTTTCATTCTGTTTTTTTCTCCATCATCTTTGATCATCCTCATCATTTTCATCATTCCAACCATCATATCAACATCTCCTCTCAATGTGCCAGTAAACTAATTCACCAACTAATCAACTATCAAATTTTAAATTGTTAGTGTTTAATTGTGAATCTTTTCATCTAAATTAATTGTTATTCCTAAACTAACATAACATTGGAAACTAACCAAAAAAAGCAAAACAATTTTAATTGTTGTGATTTATGAAAAACTGTGAATTGTGATTTAACTCAACAATCAACTGTTAATCAACGGTGTGCCATTATAAAGTTGCCATATATTAATACAATTAATCAATTTAATCAAGTCAAAGATGCCTCGTAGTTTTTTAATTAAAAAATCAACCAACCAAACAACAACAACGACCACATCATCAACCACAACAGCAATTAACGATGATTGTCAGAATGAAAATTACAATTACAATAGCAATGGTTAGTATTACATATTACACAATTTAATTAACAATTAAATCCTCTAATTGTAAGCAATTTAAGTTAATCAAACCTGATTGATTATAATCGCAAATGAAAGTGAATCTAAAAAGCGATCATCTTAATTTTCATCTTAATTATAATGAAACTTTGCTTAAACTAGGAAATCATGTTAGTAGATCATTGATCCTTAATCATCTTCATCTTCTTCCTCATCATTTCACAAGATGATGATGAAAATGATGAAGATGATTATGATGATAATAAAGGAAGCTACTAAATTGTTACCTTGTAAACCGGTTTAGTGGAAAACAATTTAGAGCCAACGATCAATATAAATAACAACAAGTCAATGAGTTTTGTTGTGTTGTTGATGATGATGATGCTTTTATCATCATCTTCTCTGCAATTCTAGTTACTTTTCATCTTCTTATTATCTTCCTCTTACTGAATTCTCAGAACAATTAACTGAACCTCCAAAAAAACAATTCGAGTCCAATGTTAACTGTAATAATAATAATCTCTCTCAGTTGTAACTCGGCTTAAAGGAAACTGGTTTCTTTTTATATTACATTATATTCACATTGCATAACCGTTTGTTGTTTAGTACCAATCTTTTAACGTTATTATTATCATTTACCTTGTATATTATTATTATTACCTGTTCTAGAACTGTTATTTATTATATTAACCATGAAAATGAAGTGCACAGGTAAACACATTAGTTTATTTTGTTGTTGTTGTTGAGATTGAAAAGTAACTTAAACTATTGATTATCTGAACTTTGTTGTTGTTATTTTTTCAATTTCAATTGTAAATCAGTTGGTGGTTAAAGGTTAATTTTGCTTGATCAACATTATCAACTGGAAAATGATTCAATCGTAACGAAAGTTAAATTGATTCTAATTGTTTTCTATCATGATGATGACGATAATTTGTCTTTCATTGACTTTCGGTCAAAATGATCTCTCTCTCTCTATGGGAAAAGGTTAGTTTTTCGTAGTTGTTGTTGAGATAATTTTGTCTTTTATTTTACTTTTGACCTTTTCCCTCCTTGACCTAGAGATGGATTAGATTATTATTTTACTGGACTAACCAAATCACCTTTCAGGTCATTTGATAATAGAACCGGTTCTGAACTTTTCTACCATTTCGATGGCTCTGTTACATTGTCGTTTCTTTATCTTTTCATTTGACCTAATCAAATGGTGACCCTTCTCATCTTTTCATCCTCATCCTCTCTCTTTCTCTCTTTAATTGGAAGACAATTAATTATATCTTCGTCTTTTTCTTGTTGTTTTTTTTTAATTCTTTAGTTCCATTTGATTTGAGTACGAAAAGTCGTAAATCTGAACATTCTGAATCTCTAGCAACCTCTGGATCTTCTGGATCATCTTTATCATCCCTTTCATCGTTATCTTCATTATCTTCCGCTGATGGTCATCATTCTGGTCACTTGAATGGATCATCTTCACCTTCCACCTTGACACCTCCTCCTGCCATCACTGCTAAGACAGTTTATCCTTCAACATCATCATCATTTCAATCTGGTGCTGGTGTTTCAGGCTCTGGTTCCCCTCGAGGGGCATTCATAGCATCCTCATCAAGTCTACCCACCAAAGCGGCATTAGCACCTTTGGAACCACTTAATATTAATAATGAACCTGATCAGATTCCCTGGTCACTGTCCGTTAAATCAACGACATCATCTTCCGCATCCGCTTCTCATCATTTACCTCTTCATCCTCATGCAGTTTTTTCAACTCTTTACACACCTCGAGATGCTCATTACCTTTCTAATCATCAACCTCTTGCTAATTATCATCATCATCCTTCACATATACCTTCAGCTCATCATACTGCCGCTCATCATCATCCTGTTTATCATCATTCATCATCACCTTCAAGTCCATCTTACCTAATCTCACCACCTCGAACACCTTATTCACGAGCCGCTTTATCATCCCCACCGTTACCACTTACATCTCACTCTCATCATCCTTATCATCATCGTCGCTATGGATCATCTTCATTAGTCTCAACTCTTCACCGATCTGATTCATGCTCATCAGCTGACCTTCATTCACCCAGAGACTCTGAAGAAGATGAGCCCTCCCACCATCATATTCATCATCATCATCATCACTCACAACACCGACATCAACGTACTTTAGTATTAGCACCAATTTCATCTGCTCGAAGTGGATCAGCATCATTCTTACATTCCCCGGTCAACACTGCTTCCAATGATGAACAAGACACACCCGATTTATCCTCATCTTCATCTCTCTCATCAGCATCATCTCTTTCATCAACACACTCACACTCCTCGAAACTTTCCTCATCAGGTCAACTGAAAACCTCTTCCTCTTCCTCGTTCGATGATAAATGTTCAATAAGACCATTAAAGATGCGGAAAAACGAGACTGGTTCCCCACAACCGATAACATTTTCCTCATCCTGTTTATCATCATCTTCACCTAATGAAAATATTTCCCCACGATCACCAACCCCAAACACCAACAAATCCTCAACATTAACGGTAAATAAAAACGCAACCACCTCCTCTTCAAATTCAACAACAACCCCGCCATCAAATTCAGCACCTCGATACCAATGTCCCGATTGTAAGAAAAGCTATTCAACCTGTTCGGGTTTAACTAAACACCAAGAATTTCACTGTTCAACTCAGACCAAAAAGTCATTCTCATGTAAATCGTGCGACAAAGTTTATCATTCCCTTGGTGCCCTTAAAATGCACATACGAACCCACACTTTACCCTGTAAGTGTACCCAATGTGGTAAAGCCTTTTCCCGTCCCTGGCTACTTCAAGGTCACATGAGAACCCACACCGGTGAGAAACCCTTTGCCTGTACCCAGTGTGGCCGTAAATTTGCCGACAGGTCAAACCTTCGTGCCCACTTTCAGACCCATTCTGATGTTAAAAAATACGGTTGCAAGGCTTGTGGTAAAACCTTTAGCCGAATGTCACTTTTAACCAAACATCAAGATAACGGGTGTCCAAGTAAAAGCCTTAATCCTTCATCATCATCAACCACAACACCAACCTTATCTTCATCATCATCAGTATCATCGGTATCATCTTTATCATCTCTATCATCTGTATCTTCATCTGCATCATCACCAAACAAAACTATCAACAAATAACTTTTTACCAATTGTAACAATCACAATTATTATTAACTTAATTGTTATATTATATACATAATATTATTATCCTGGCCTTTAATTATCCAATTGGATGATTTAATTCAGCTCCAATTCATTAACATTCCGGTTGATTCAATTGTTGACAAACTTTGGTACTAACAATTAACTTGCTAATTGTTTTTTTACCAATCGTATTAATAACAACATTTGATCATCAGACTTACAATTAACTAATCATATTAATATTATTATATTATTAATAATCTTCCCACCAATCGATCATGTTAATTGTTTCAATCTAATAATCGTTTAATCAATTGGGAAGATTTGCAACAATTAATTAAGAGAAACAAGAAAACAATTAATTGATTACAATTAACTCTTCTCGAAGAAAAAGCAACATAATTGTTATTAATTATTACTAATTAATTAATTATTATCTCCCCCTCTCTATATTATGTAAATAATCATCAACAATTAACAACAATTAAGTCGAGTCACAAAAATTGAATAACATTCACATTCAAACAATTAAGTTAATCACTTCAATCATGATCATATTAATAACATTGTTAATCTTGAATTTATTTTCTACAATCAACTTAATCATAATCAGAGCACAATTAACTGTTTTTAATTTAAATCACTTTGCCCCTGAACAAAAAAAAACTAGTCTGATAATATCAATTAACGATCATAATAATTAATTAATTGCATCACAATCAACTTAATTTCCCTTACACAATGTAACTTTCATTTTAATTTCCTTCTCATTTAAGATAAACCTTAATTATCAACAATTAACTTTTAATTTACTTTCTATATTTTACTTAATCATTAGAAGTTTTTTTTTTGCAAACAATTAACTTTCTAATCACAGTGACAATTGAACAACAATTAACCAAACCACTGAAAGTGAATTCAAACTGTGCCATTTCAATACTCGCTAATTGTTTGATACCAATTGGATTAAATTAATTAATCCAATGATTATTGTCCAAATTAAATCACAATTAGTATTTTTTGCTCCTTCCACAATTTAATCAATTGTAAATAAATCATCAAATGTATAAAAATTGATCGTCACAAGAAAAATTATTATCAACAAATCACATCAATAAACAAAACATTCAAATCACAATTAAATTGTCTCAATTATTATTATTTGATAATCAAATTAATTTTCAAGGTAAAAAATAACAATCATCAAGTTAATCCCAAAGTAATCAGATTGGATTAATGATCAAGATGAGTTATAATCATGACATTATCTTAATCATCACAATCAATATTAACCTTGTATTATGTTGAACGTGCTAATAAATTAAATGTGAACGTGCCTATAACACGTGTCACCTTAATTGTGTTTAAATTGTTATCATGATTAACCATTAGCACCATAAGCGTAGGTCATTTAATCATAATAATAAAGGTCAGTCCATTATTTGGATTGCCTGATGATGAATAATCAGTTTTGCTTACTGTCCAATGGTCAATGATATTGACTGAGTGTTTTTATCATTTTGATTATCAAGGACAATTAAGAGACTGATTAATAACCGTGACAATTGTATATTATCATCAGATCAGTATATTAAATAAGGTAAATAATGTTAATGATTAACAATTTATTCATGATTAGTGTTTGTTGTCAATATAATTCAAGTTGGTTAAAAGCATATGGAGTTACAATTATCTTATCATCTTATCGTTTGGGTCAATATTATTTTCTTGACCAATAGGGATGACCAGTGGGTGGTGATTTTTATTGTCTTCATCTTGCTTATTCAAGTAATCTAGTTGATTGTTAAGTTTATCTCAATTATATAATCTTAATTGTAACAATTTAAACGTTCAAAAGGTTTGACATTTGTTTGAGAGTAACAATAAATAAATGAAGGTAAATATTAATAGTTAATCACTTGTTGATTGTTGGCTTTGATTAGGGTGATGATGATGGTCAGATTATTTATCGATATTGATTAAAATTCAAAAGAATAGAGAATTTTTTTATTCCAATTTTTATTTTTTCTCTAAATTCTCTTTAGTTTTTATCACAATTCTTACAAAGGAAATTGAACTTTTTTTCTTATTCTTAATACTTGTTTATTTATCCGTTTGTGTCTCCTCACAGTGTTGGTCATCTAGGGGAAAGAGGAAGGAGCAAGTGATGGTCATCTTGTATTGTATTTCTCTCTCAAGATAAAAGTGTCCAGTGTATTGGAGACCATAAGCTTGTTGGTCAAGAATGTCAAGTATACACTTTGCAAAGAAAGAATCAGAAAAGTTAAAAAGAGAGAATGGAAGACAATTCGAAAAAAAAAGTTCTAACAAAAGGAAAAAAACTATAAAACTTTAGACGATTTTATTTCAATGGGTAACACCTTCAATCTATTCAAATGTGTAGTCGTTATCATCCTCATCCTCATCGTCGTTATCATCATAATCGTAGTGAACGTACATAGTAAAAAAAAGAGAAAAAGGAAGATGAAGACGATGATTATGATGGAAGAGAAAGAAGATAAAGGATAAAGAAGAAGAAGAGGAAAAATGAATGTAAAATAAGATCTTTTTTTGGTTCGAATAAATAGGAACAGATTGGCCGTAACTAAGGTCGCGATTCTTGCGAGAGAAAAAGGTAAGAAAACCAAAGGACCTTTTTCGTTTGTTGGCCTAGTGATGAAGAAGAAGAATAAGTATAAAAGGAAGAATAAAGGAAGAAGTGAACATACATTAAAAAAAAGAAAGAGAAGAAAAGAGAATGAAAGTTTGGGAATTTCGCACTTGTCAGTAGAAGAAGAAGAAGAAGATGGAAGAAAAAGAAAGAGAGAAAAGAGAGAAAAAAAGATGAAAAGAAAGAAAGAGAAAAAGAGGTTCGGTTTAACCTGTTTCGTGAAAACTGTGAGACCAAACGATCAACACTTTTGTCAGAGAGACTAACATGTTGTTTGTATCTGTTACTTTCAGTTGAAAGCTAGAAAAAGGTAACAAACGCAATTCTCAGCACTTTGGATGATCGTCCTATGGAAGAGGTGAAGGGGAGAAGCTCTGATTCTCTCCTAACCTAACCTAATCTAACCTAAAGCCATTTGCCCCTTTTAAGCCTCCACGTAATCGTTGGAGAGTCAGTCCGAGGCCATTTTGGTCTCCATCTCCATCATCGTCATTGTTTGTGTTTGTACAAGTTGTATGTGTTTTATAAGCTTGGTTGGTTTACCTTTGCTACTATTTTTTACACCAAACAAAACTACACAACATGTGACACAAAGAAGAGAGAGAGAGAAAGTAAAAAAGAAAGAGTAAGGATGATAAGGATGATAAGGAGGGTGGAGGAGGGATATGTGAAAAGGTTAAAGGGGAAAAAGGTAAAAGGTTATATAAGGTTTTTTTTATCTTTTTCCACTTCTGTCCATTTCCTTGTCAATTGAACTTCATCAATCATCATAGGTAAACTTCTAGGATTCTGACTATTCATCTGTGTCCAAGGTGATGGTAAAAAATGCCCTCAAGGTATAAAGAGAAAGACGATGATTATGATAACGAGATGAGAGGAAATTAAAATTTTGTAAAAATTTTTTTTTTCTCTTCTCTTTTATCTGTAACTTTAACTCTTCTTACCTTTGGCAATTAAATCAATCATCATCATCAACGCCATCAAGTACACAAAGAGTTAAGTGTACGATACATGTAGTTGAGAGACACTTTGATAACCTTTTTAATGTGCCAATGTTTCAGCTCATTCCCATGATAATGTGCTGATAATACACAACAATGGGTGCTGATGATAATAGATGAGTCTCATTTTATTATTATTATTTAAAAAGGGAAATCAGTTTCCTGATTGGTTTCGCTTTTTCCATAGACAATTATATTAATAATACATAGGCCAAGTTATCAGTCCTTTGAATCTTATTCTTGTACATATTTACCGTTATAAAGTTATCTTTATTTGCTTCAATAATACAACTGATATTAGGCTAATTAGATTCAGGTATCAAAGGTGATTCATCATCAGTCATATTTATGTTTACCTTTGGAGGTAAAAAAATAAGTTCTCACATGGAAATGAGAAATTTTCATCATCGATTTGAACTCTAACCTTATTATTATTGAGATCGTATTGAAATGACAATCAACAATGTGAAACAATTAAAGTCAAAGTGATAAAACTTTTCTGACTCCTCTAATCCAATTGTTGGGTTTTAATCAAAACTTTTAAATGATTGATTTAAATTGTTCAATCATTTTCCTGAATCAAAAGTAACGGTAAAAGTTTTATCAATGACCCAGATAAATATTAACAAGAAAATGATCAATTTATCAACAATTGAACAATTTAAAGTTGTAAAAACAATTGATTATTATGGGAACAACTTTTAATTCAATTGTTTTACTTGAAAAAATTTCTTAATCCGGTTGTTAATTGTTTACACTTGCGCTGTAATCAATTCATCAGCTGAGCATCATCAAGACTCTATAATAAAACTTGAAGCAATCAACCAATTTGATTGGTTAATTGTTGACGAAGTTGATTAAATCAAAAATGTAAGAACCTCCCAATAGCATGAAAGTTACAAGAGTAATTAAACTGAACAATTAGTTAATTGTTGTATCTTTTTTACCTCAACAACAGGAAGCATATGGTACATACGATTTATTAATAAAAGGAAGTCACAATCAGATGATTAGTTGATTAAAACTTTCAATTGTAATGATTTAACTTTCGTTTATAATTATAATCAATTAATGGTTTTATCATCATCACGTTTAATCATGTTAACAACATTAATATTACTCTAATTACAATGTAATCTATTCAATATCATTTCCGTTATAATTGATTGATAAAGATGAAGATGGAAACAATTTAAAATGATGAATGAAAAAATTTAAATTTCCAATTGATTGTTGTATCAATGATCATCATCATGATCCATCATTATACTTAACCAATGGTCACTTGATTCAATATAATGATATGGTTTTCTGATTGTTTATCATTTGCTATTCAATTGTAATCAATTGATCATCTTATTGGTTATGATAAACAATTTTCACTCTTGTTTTCGAGGCTCATTGATTATCTGTGGTTTCAGGGTTGACATTGTTGTTGTACCTTTGACCAATATGTTATCATTTATAAATTGATAACCTTTTGTTATATATCATCAACAGGTAGATTTGATTGAATGAAGATGATTACAAATAAATTATTGATTGACATGAATCAATATCGATCCACCCCACCGTCTATACAGACTGTAGATATTTTTACCCACCCCAATCATTTTCACCTTATTAAGTTTAAGAGGTGGACATTTACTTGTATCATTTGATTGCAATTCAATCATTTTACCAATATTAACATCACCTCACTGACTACTTTTACTTTACCTTTGACCCTCCCATTTTGATGATGGTTTGTCATCTATGGATGATAAGTATTGTTATTATCTACTCCATGTAATAATCTAATCGTCTTTTTTTTCTCAATGGAATAAAAAATTTCTCTAACAACAGGTAACCTCTTCATCTTTAATGAAGATGATTATGATGATGGTGATGACCTTTCACTCTCGAAATCTCAATCAATATCATTTGATTGTTCATTTTTCCTTCTAATTCATAATGAAGATGATGATGATCATCATCATCATCTACAGGTAATCACTATCTCTAATTGTCTGTTTATGTAACTGTAATTGTCAGAGATTTGATTGATGATCAAGACTCATTTGGTACCTACGATTCAAAAGTGTCCACTTCCGTTTCTATCAGGTAATTGACCTTAACTATTGAATCATTTGAATTTTCATCAAATATTTGATCAAATTTTCAAATTTTTCTTGACCCATTGATATCCTTTCATCAATCGGTCATTATAACGATTGTAACGATTTGTATCATCTCAGGAAAAGAAAACATAAATTGTAATTTGATCTGGTTGACAATAATTTCAATTACTTATCAACAATTGGATAGTAATTCATGTTTACTAATAACAATAATGATAATTTCCATAGGAAATGAACAAGATGATGATGATGATAATAATACAAATTGACCTTAAATTGACCATTCAAGTACATAGACAGGTTAGGACACAGGTAGTCATTGTTATCTCACCATTTTATCAATAC